TGTTCAGCCGGCTGTTGACCAGCACCCCAAGGTCCTTTCCTGCTGGGCAGCTTTCCAGCCACTCCTCCCCCAGCCTGAAGCGTTGCATGGGGTTGGTGTGACCCGAGGACAGGACCCGGCATTTGGCCATATGTGTGTGCGTGTGTGTGCACGTGCAAAGATATCTAAGATGAAAAGTAGTCTGGAAGGAAGGTGCTGTGGAGAATTACAGGTGCTGGAATTGTTTCCCTGCAGTAGTTTAATAAAATGTAGGCAGTGTGACATGGGTTGGTTTTTTTCCAAACAAAACCAGGTTGTGAGACCCATTAGGCAGCTTTAGTTGTTGGTTGGAATGACAAGCTTACTTTCTCAAAAGGCCTGATTCATAGCTACTTCAAGGTACTTTTATTCTGCTGTCACTCCCTTGTAGTCAGTCTCAAGCCAGAGTAACGTGTTGCTTAATCAAATATTGGCCCTTCAGTTGTACCTACCCCACAGAAAACCCTTTTCATGTTAAACGAGGTAAAGTTGATAGCACACACTTAAAATTCTGTTAGACTAATTGTGCATTTTGGCTGTTGCTTTTTTCTGGAACAGCATTACTACTTGTTAGTTATTTCCATGATAGTATATACGAATCTTTTTATCGTTAAGCACTTAACTATGCAATTGGTTTATGAGTTGATGCACTGGAGTGGATTTGACAAATAACCATCACATAAGATCCTGCTCGTGGATGTGCTTAGCATACGCTTCAGTCCACACTGTTTCCATGGAAATCACTGAAGACTATATGCAATTGCAAAGCTAGACATTTACATAATTGTTTGCGAGACTGGGATTATGTGGGGAATAAAAACACTGAAATCATGACCATCCTTTGTGGAAGTGTAGGTTTGAATAATGTATGTCAGCTTGGTGCTATGAAAATGCTACAGTACAGGATAACACTTCAGTTGATCTATTTTCTTGCATGCAATTAATCTGAGAAATGATCATGGCCTTTAGTCCTGATGTCTTCATACATTCTCCATGTCAGAATATTTCCAGGTGTCTTTATGTGTAGCTCTAACGAGTCACTGACCTCAGCAGTGAAGTGTTTGCAGTAGCAGCTTCCGAGAAATTCTCATGCATATCTGAAACCCAGTCTGCTTTTAATTCACTGAAGGCAGGCATGGGCTAAAGCCTGGGGACAGAGATAAAGAAATGTTGGGACTCCTAAACAAAACAGCATGATGTCTCATGTGAAAGCATGATGCTAACTGGTAGTGTAAGAGAGTGAAATTGTCATGGCCACACTTACCTTGATGCAAATTAGAGGTAGGTTCAATTAGTTTATGCTACAGTAAATATTGCTTCAGTTTTCCACCATGAACTCAAACTGAACGTTTCTGCATGGCTGACAACTTAGAATTTCCACTGTATACCTGGTGTTCTACATTTTCCTGACCTCACCAGAAGGGAGAGCTCCTGAAGAACACTCACCAAAGTGCCATCTGAAAAATAAAGCCCGTTTCCAGATGACTTTTAAACGCAACAAATCCTGGATAAGCTTTGCATAAACATGTCACTTCTGCACTGTACCATACTAAGTTTTTTATAAGTGCATATATATATATATGTGTGTGTGTATTTTTATAGATAAAAACCAATGGATAGACTTCCAAAGGAGGCGGAGTGTGTGTGTAGAGCCAGCCTTTGGAAGCTCATTTGTTGACAAAGTTAAATCTCTTTTTGGAGTGCTGCTAATATTTAAATACAGTTATTTATTTGACCCCTTGTTGTCTCTTACTTGCAGTCACTAGACATGGCTGGCAACCAGCTGACTTCTATCCCATCAGGCCTGCCAGAATCTCTAGAATATCTGTATCTTCAGAACAACAAGATCACAACGGTTTCAGAGAATGCTTTTGAATCCACACCCAAAATAAAGGGGATTTATCTCAGGTAAGGTCAGGTTTCCACTTCAACACGAGATTTTTTTCTTCTTCATCCACTTTGTAATTGCTTACTTTTTAGAAAGCATTTAAAGCCCTAACTTTCTAAATAAGCAACTTTGTTTTATAGCAATGTGTGATGAAACTGTGTTCATCTGCTCAGAAAAGACATGGATACATACAAGGAGCTCTTTCTGTTCAGAGAGTTTGTCCTTTCTGTGCTTATTTGAATGGATTAGGCTTGTTAGAAATTTTGGTAAATTAATGTTTAACATTATGTCATATTCCAGTATTCAGCCATGAGCTAAAATTTTACAGTCCACTTGTAGGACTACAGCTTCACCTGTGTCTGTTAGCCCTGGGTTTTGACAAAATCCCCCTCTAGTGAGGCGCGTATGACTAATCATGCAGTTTTGTGTATTCTCTTGATAGTTTTGTCAGAAACAGGTGACAAGTTACAACTGTGACAGTTATGTAATTAAGTTTAGAAGCTTTTCTGGTTTTTTTCCTACTCTGTCAGTTGGATGAGGACCTTGTTTTTATAGGTGACAGATACTGACCTTTTTTATGCATAATGTAAACTCACAGTAATGTAACTGATTTAAGCAGAGATTTATACCACAGGAAGTGAAGCATGAATCTGGCCCAGTAATATATTCAGTTTTATTCTGATGGAACATTATTGAAAATATTGCTTAAGAGTGATTTGTCAATGCCTACAGAATATTTCATTAAGCTGATCCCATGGATGTGTTCAAAAAGCCTGGGCTGCGTGCTGCACAAGACTAAATATGGCTTTATTTAGTCTGTGTGCAACCAAACTGTTCTGTAGTTCTGAATAGTTCTGAATCATAACTTTTTGGATGAATGATTCCATACCAAGCAAATAAAATTACAAGGTATGGTGTAAATTAGAGCAGTCTGTCTATTCAGCTGCTCACATTTATGAGATTTTAGTGAATGCTTGGATGCAAACCAGAAACCACATACCACATTCTATATTTCTATACAAAGAGCAAAAAGGAATTTGCAAAACTGTTTTGGTAACATATTTAGGAGGGAACTCCACCCAAGCTAAGTTGTATGTCTTAATGGGAGGCTATTAATCACTGCAATGATGTGAAACAATAATACGCATCTGGAATATTAGACAGAATACCATTTTAAGCATGTTTGAGAGTAACAGACCAAGCAGTATATGTAAGAGGTTCTTAAATTGCAGATTAGTTTATTTATATTCTTGGAAACCCAAAGAACAGCTGAAAAATTATTGCATGGTGCTTTGTTTCTAAAGGGTTATTTTGTACCAGTATTTTGAGTTTTGTGGGAGAAAAATTAAACTATCCAGGGATGACACAATCTCATGAAAAAGCAAGTTGCACTTTGAAATGTGGGCTATGGAGCAGACTCCTTTCCTCTCTGAGAAGGAGAAAACTGAATACCAAGAGAAAGAATTTGTGGGGGAGGAATTCCAATATTGTGGTTTTTTCCCTTGCTGAATACAGTTAAGAAGGGTGAAGAGGGGCTGGGGTGGAGGAAAGTAGAAGCTTTTTGAGCTTGATCAGTGAACTTGAAATTGGTGGGAGATACTTAATGTTTCCCAGTATTTTCCTGCAAGGTCCTTTGTGATGATAGAGAGTGCTGTCAGCAAACTTTGTTCAGTCATTTGCTTGCTACTCGGTACCTGCTTTCCCTTCTTTTTTCCACCCAGAGGAGTCAGTATTCCTAGAGTGCTGTTGTGGGTCAGGGTGAAGTTAGAGTAACTTGGGTTGGTGTAAGTTAGAGTAACTCTACAGAATGGTTTCCTCCTAGCCTCCTCATTTCTGTGTTGGATAGGAAAATGGGTTTATTTTAACAGGAAGGTCTTGTTGTTTGTTTAAAGGTTTAATAAGATTGCAGTTGGAGCACTGAAGGAAAGTACCTTCCAAAACCTAAAGCACTTACAGGTACTGGATATTGAAGGGAACCTTGAATTCAGCAACAGTTCAAAGAATAAGGATGACTCAGAAGAGGAAATGGAGGAAGAGGAAGAGGAAGAAGAACTGAGATAAAATGTGAACTTGCGCAAGCACATCAGTGGGAGGTAACAACTGTAGTTTAGTTAAATCAAGGACCCAGTTCTCAGACTCTTGTCTAAATAATTCGAGTTTACAAGTATGATTGAAACATAACAAGTGGGTGTCTGAGCCCTAAACTCAAAGACTTTCAATAAAACATGACTGGGAATTGCAGAATCAAAACCAGCTGAAAATACATTATTTTATAAAATGAAATAGTCAGTATATATCTGTTTTATCAGAGGCAGTGGACTGCTTATAGTGGCTTCTGCTTATAGCTGCAGCAGACACAACAGGCAAATATGAAGATCATTATTTACTAATTCTGATAACAAAAAATGAAAAGGTATTTCATGATATTTTCAAGCAACCAGTTAAAAAGGAAAACAAAGAACAACATGTGAAGCTTACTGGTACAGAAGACCATGTGAGCTGAAATGGATTAAAAAAATTAGACAAACTAAAGGAAGATAGACCCATTAGTGTCTGTTAAACATGGCATTAAGATTATGACCTCTATCTCAAGCAGTCCTTAGATCACTGACCACTCAGTAGGAAGATAGTACTAAATTTGGCATATTTCTTACAGAAAGAATTATCTTACTTCAGGTCACTTTTGGAGATGGTATGCAGGACTGGATTGATGCCTGATCCAGGATAGCTGGTTCTCACAACAACCTGTGTTTTTTCTCCTGAAAAGTCTCGGTGAGGGTTCATTGCTCACTTCACCCAGATTCACTGAACGGCCTCTGGCCAGTTACAGGTTGGGGTTGCAGCTGACTTTGATTCCAGACTGGTAATCTTGAAATTAAGACCTCAGTATTCCATAAACTGTCTGGCCAGCCACTCAATTTCTAGTTGAACCTTATTTCTTTTCAGCTGCAGAAGAAAAGATGAAAGGAGAATGATGTTTGAAGAATATGCATTTTTCCATAAGAAGAATGGGGATCTGCTTTATGCATCTCTTAAGCATTTTATGTTCAAAGATTATGAGGTTCAAGACACTGCTCTCTGCTTTTGGAGATCTAAACTGTCAGACTTGAAAAAAAATGTTCAGTTTTGTCCCTGATCTACATTTTGTCATGCAGAATGACACAAGTGGTAGGAGTAGTGCTAACATAACACGCTGAAAAGATGAGGAGGCTTGAAAAGGGCAGAATCTACTTGGAAAGTCAAACATGAGACCTCCTGGCTGGGCTAAATGAAAACTTTGTGAGAGAAGAAGTAATTTATATCTACAGACTTAGAGTACATACAGCTTCTGAATCAATGCATCTCTGGTTTGGTTTGGGGCACGTGTGACATGTCAGCAGGTACTAAGTTTAGCATATTCTGAATTCTGTGTTCCATTATGTAATTGATTTTGTTTTTCTGATGTTTTGCAGGAAAGCATATGGAAAATTACGTATATGTCTGTGTGTATATATATCTATATAGATATACAGAGAACACTTAGCAAAACGTGCAATGAATTACACAGAAACTGTCAGGGCACTGGGCCAGGCTTATGGAATACAGTGTGTTACAGTACCTTATTCAAGGAGAGACCCTGAATGCCTTTCCAAAGCTTCCAAATCATCTTATACAAGACCAAGGATCATAAGGGATTGCTCTGAAACTCACAAAAGCTGGCTTTTGTTTCTTCTGTTTCTCTTCCTTCACTGTTTCCATCTGTAATAACAATATGGGACTGTTTTGAACACATGCCTTCAAATGCTGTTTTTATCACTGCATTTTAAGTGAACCATGTATATGCTGCTTTTCCTCCACTCCAAAGAATCTGTTGTTGATCAGGCAAGATGGATATTTGCAGTAGTTTCATGTGTGGAGCAGTATCTGAGGCATTTTGGTCATCAAGCAGCAGTAATAATTCTGGATGCAACTATTCCTCTGTTATAACAATGTGTATATTTGGATGAGAAAAATAAAGTAAGGCTGGATCCCATAATATTTTACCTCTACTGCCAAAGCCTGCAGTATATGCCTGTTTCAGAAAGGTTTTAAGATAAAACAATTACTCTTGTGAATATATATATATATATATATATATATAACTAACTTTGGAAATGTTTCTGTCTTGCTGTTGTTTGCCCACGTGGCAGTTGTGTGAATGTCTCCGAAGGTATGTCCAGAAGATTGAGCAACAGTATGCGGTTTAATACATGTGGTAGAGTTTTTCACAGATTGTGTATCATTCACATTAAGAGCCAGAAGTGAGACTAATGAAGCAAAAGAGATGGGTGAGTGTGGGGTGTCTTAGGAAAAAACTGTTAAGCGTCAAGAGAAATGTCTTTGTTTAGTTCAAGTCTGGAGACAGTGCCTGCTGTCATACTCTTAAAGCCTCACCTGTTTTAGGGTATTGAGCATTCTCAGCTCCTGTTGGAATAATGGAAAATAAAGAAACTGAGAAGAAGATGACCTGGATGGCAAGCTGCCTATTTGATTCTAATGTCCTTCGTATGAGGTAGCTGATCTGCTTGACGAGGTCTTGTCTTTTGAGGATTTCTGATTGAACACATGTTGTTTTGCATGCTGGGCTCCAGGATTTACTTGGAAACAGAGTTGGCTTAATGTTTTACCAGCTGTTTTTCCTGCTGGAGAAGATCTAGTTCTACATTCTTGCTTTGGGTTCCCATAGCACATGACAGTACTTTCAAGCTGATATTTCCTACCTTTGACAGTTCAACACGATCGTGAATGATAGAAGGAAATACTGCTTCCTGAAAAAAACAAAAGCTTGGCCCTAAAGATTGCAAAAAGCCACATTTTTTGATATCAGCTATACAGCTGAGCAATAAAATAGCCTTCCAACTGACTTTTGGGATAGATTTCTATGTAATATAGCTCTAATCTATTAGCTATCTCCAGCAAACCCCAGCAGAAGTTTTGCCAGTCTTTGGTGAAACAGACCAATTATACTCCTGAACAAGCTAAGAATATGCAGATTTGTAGTTTTATGGAGAACTATTCAATTATCTTTAAACTTCAGTCCCTTACACTGCAATTCTGTGAGAAGTCAGGTGCCCCAGACTCCCTTTGAATCCCTTAAGACTCTGTTGTGGTGAATGCGGGAGTGCCGGTACATTTTAAACACCTTGTGGAAGCAAGCCCAGAAATTCAAGGTGATACGTACACTGTTAAACTTCTTAAATCAAGCATCAGCCTTTCCAAAGGAGACCCACCTACAGCCAAAGGGGAACATCCCGTAGACCAGGAGAATTAGGAAACCCTTTTCCAAGTTTATTTCAAAATAATTGTACACTGAATCTGTCCTTAAAAGGGGACAATGTTTCCCAGCAGCACAAAGGGGACAATTTTTCCCCGCCCCCCCCCCCCCCCCCCCAAGAGGACTGTCTTCTGATTGTCATGTCAGAGATCGATGAGGGAGAACCACGGCCTTGATTCCTCGCTTACCTGGTATTGTCAGCACCTATGACATTTTGGACATAAAACTGTCAAACCAAAATGGTAGTTTCTTTCTTTCAAAAAACTAAGAGGCTCCGTGAGAGATGATAAGAAAGAGTCAGAAGGCCACAGGGCTAAGCCCACCTCTTTTTCTTGACTGTGGGTGGCTCCTGTAATCCCAGGGTCCAACCCAGACCTCGGATGGAGCAGGACCCAGGAACACGCATTTTTATTATTCCCTTTAGTAAAAATGAGGAGAGTTGGGTGGTTGGCCTCTCCTTAGGCCACTGAGTTGGATCAGGAAGAGACAACATAACTGTTGTTTTCATGTAACTTTCTTCCTGTGAATTGCTTGGATTTGGGAAAGAGACAAACACGAAGTTTTTAAGGCTGAGACAGATATATGGATAGTGAAAACCTGAAGTTTAAAACATTCAGTTGGCAACTCTATTCCTAAGTGTGCATTTGCACATTCTTGGTATTCATGCATCTGTATGCAAACTGAGGTCCAAGTTTATTTGCTGTTTTTCTCTTAAAGGACGTTTCCTCATTACAGAGGACACTGCAAAAAAATGGGAAAAATCGGATTTTTCTGAGATTGGATACGATTTTTCGTAGCATTGGGAGTACAAATGCAGCACGTGAGCTATAAAGAACTCAACAGGCGCCAAAAATAGCCCCTGGATAATGAGCTTTTATTTCAGACGATGTGCACGTAGCCCGGCTGCATCTGCAATGTGGACGGGCAGTTCCGCAGCTGTTCTCCCCCTCGTCCCCGTTCCTTCGGGCTCCTTACCCCCATGCCCATTCCCTCCTGAGGACTGGGGCACCCGGCGCCTGCTCCCTCCCCGCTGCTATCCCTCCTGCTGCACACCGCTCCCCTCCAGGTAACCCCGCGGGCTTGTTTTTTGGGGGCTTCCAGGAAAAAAAGGCTGGGGATAATTGTACCTTCCCCAGAGGTGTTATCTCCCCATGAGGGGGTTGTGGCCCCTTTTCCTTCCGTGGGTGCCGGGAGGGCCCCTGGGGCTGGGGTTGGACTGGAGCTGGGGAGCCTGTGTCCCTCTGCTCCCCGCGTTCACAGACGTGGAGGTTTCCTCCTGCCCCAACAAGGCCCCACAAGGAGCTGGTGCCATCCCACCTGCTGTGGGGAGAGGAGAGGCCCGAGGGAGGGGTGGTTTGTGGGGAGCGCCGGCGGCCGTGCTGCCAGGGAGGGAGGCAGGGTGGGGGGCGAAGCACCTCTGTAGTGTGCTGAGGGGGGTCCCGCTCTGCCTCGAGGGCCTCACAACACTGTTCTGTGGTGTTTGGTGTTGAAGTGTCACGTTTGATGAAAAAGAGGTGCTTTACACAGTCAGTAGATACTCTTCTAAGGAAAAATTAGTTAAGAAAGAAAAAAAAAACCTCCGAAGGAAAACTTTTGACCAAGTTTGACAGGGGATGCGGTGGGGCGGGAGGAAAGCTGCAAAGTGCTCCCTTGGGGGAGCGGCGGCAGGTGC